GAGAGGCATTCACATGGAAACCAAGTGTGACCCACAAGTGCCAGAGCAGTTGCCCCAGTGGAAGTGGGAGTTGGTTTGCATAGGCAGAGTTTGGGTCACCACTGGGAAACCAGTTAGCTTAGTAGAGGAAAAACCCACTTTTTTAGTGACTTTAATAAGATAACTGAGGTGGAAAGGCATGGTTTTAAAAGGCAGTGGTCTTTAAACTCTTTTTGCCTGGGTGAACTTGCTAATAAGAATGTCAGAAAAGTCTGGCACATTTTTAAGTTGACATCTAAAATTTCTCATCATAAGTTTAAATAATTGTACCAGATGGCATTCCAGCCCATTCAGTAACTGTATATATGCTTTAAATATATTTTTGGCAAAAATTTGGACCTGCAAATTTAGCTTATTCAGTTCATTGAAAACTATCAAACTAATTAGCTCAAATAAATTAGCTTTTTGGTCAGAAAAGGTCTAACTTCACTTTCCATTCAAATACACATGTTAATATACACCCATGACAGCCATCACACGTCTGGATCCTAATTATAAGATGCATAGATGGGTGGGTAGATGGACCGACACGCAGATAAAGCACCAAGGAGAGCCAGGATGAAACCTGGAGCAGCCCAATTCAGTGTTTCTTGATTTATTTATTCATAGGGGATGCTCCCGCAGTAAGTGTTCATAGTACAGTGAACATCACATAGCCTTCACTGAGGTTGACCTCTTTTTGCATTTTGCCACACTTTTGTTCCTGAACCATTTGAGAACTCATTTCAAATATTAAATATCATAATATTAAATACTTCAGCATGTGCCACCTAAGAACAGGGCAATGTCTTACATAAGCACAATTCAGTTCTCAGTCACAGGAAATTTAACACTGATAAATACTGTTATCCATTAAATAGTCCATATTCAGATTTCCCTAATTATAGCAATAATGTTCTTTATAGTTTCGGGGTTTTTTTTTTTTAATCCGGGATCAAAATTTACATTTGATTGTCTGGTCTCTTTATTCTTCTTTAATCTAGAATAATTCCCAAGCCTTTTTTTTCCCTGTGACATTGACATTTTATATCTTAAACTGTAGTCTTTCAACTCAACTAAAAAAACTTGTAACAAATGTACTGGAAATTATTTGATTTGTAAACTCATCAATTTTACACTGACAAGCTGGGCTCTCTTGCTTACTATTTCCCAGAATGCCCTCCAATTTGGATTTGTTTGATTATTTCCATGATTAGATTCAGGTAAACACCCTTGGACTATACTGCGTTCATGATGCTGTATCCTCACATCAGGAGGCACCTGACATCAGTTTCTCCCAAGGAGCCATACATGCCTGAATGTCTTTGTATGGTACCCGAAGGTGTTTCTCCCTGAGACAGGGCACCACAGTAAAATAGGTGAGGTGGACGGGAAGCTATACCTGTCCTGGCACGGTAGAGGGGGGATTGTAAAGGGGACATGGGGAAGGAGACGAGCAGCAGGGGCATTCGCAGGCAGACCAGTTTTAGGACGCAGCACTTGTAGAAGTTTAGGAAATGGGCACTGCTCTCTTAAAACTACCCGTACGCTCCGCATCTTCATGTACCCCCAGAGGGACACGTGCCTCTGCTCTAACCCATAGTG